CTTACCAGTAATTGTGCTCTTATTTTTGCAATGCAATACATACAAATTTATCTTTTGCTGAGACAGAAGCAAATATGTGAACACAAATGTAGAAATTATTGGTTAGTGGAATCAGGGAGACACAACTCTTTTGTCAGTATCTCAAAGTGGAAAGAACTCTGTAGATTTACAATAAAATTTTCAGAGCTCAGTGGAATTATTCAGGTTATATATAGATAAGAGTTTACTCTGAATTAGATGACTTTGGTTAATTGTGACGACTGTTTCATTGACCCTTTGCTTCAGTTAATGCTCAAGTTCCTTTACTGGTCTTAAGATAAGGAACCTGAGTGCACTGAGTTCCTTCACTTACACAGTACTTTTGTATTCTGCTAATTTCAGCACGTTTTCTCCAGATGATTGATGGGCATCCTGTGCCCCATGTAAAGCCAAATGCACTGAGCGAATTCAGTACAAAAAATTCTTTTAGCAGTACAAGGGGTGTCTACTGTGGTAGTGCAATTACATCAGTGAAGATTAGGTGTGAGGTAGCTCTTCTTTCAGACTGGCTGTTAGAACACGAGGTGAACAACAGAGAATCTGAGTGACTTTTAATTGTCACCTGTTACAAGTAAGAGATTTCAATTATTTTTTAACTAAAAATCGCATCCCATGATTCTTTTTAAGCACTTTTAAGTTCATGGTGATAAGAAAAGTAAAACTGCTTGCAAAAAGGTATTTCTCAGTGGCTCTGAAAGATCTCCATTAAATGACAAGAACAAAACAGACTGGCTTGTCCAACTGGTCTAGTTCCAAAGGTCCAACCCCTTTGGAATCCGTGATGAAACTGGCACTGACTATAGGGGGAGTCAGGTATTTTTCATATAGGCCAAAAGATGATCAGTGTTCCGAGTGTCTTGTAATGCAATTACAAACAAGAACAATGAGAACAAGGAAACAATGAGCCAAAATTGGGCTGCATTGTAAGCAGCAGTGATATAATCCTTGCCCTATTAGTATCAATTCTTTTAATAGGGACTGTGACAGGTGAGAGATTTAAAAGAGTCCTTAAAATAGCACATTTAGGCTGCGGTTCCACATGCATTTCTGCAGCAGTAGTAATGTTGATTTAAGTAGCTCTACCTCAGCTGATTGTTCTTTTTCCTGTCCCACCCATTCTTCTGTGTTCATGCAGGTGTTTGTGCAGATGTGAGGCAGAGGATCAAGCTGACAAACAATTATTCTTTTCCCTTTATTGTCTTTCAGTTCTCCCATCTGGTTTATCAGAAGGCGACACAAAAATCTGTGCTGGTCTATTTTTGGGGGGACTGTGCAAATCTGAGAGTTACGAGCTCCAGGCAACTTTTCAGTATTGTTGGAAAATGAGAAAGTGCAGCCTAACGGGGCACTGCACATAGTTAGGGGAAAACTGACAGAAATTATACTTCAGTGTTTGAATTTTAAATGCATGTGATAAAGAGCAGCGGAGGAAAGAGATGAATGACAAAGGAGCCTTGATGCTGAAGTAGTTTATACGTAAGACTGTGGAAAAGTCAGAGTTAGGGATTGAAAGAAAGGGAAATGGAAAGTCCTCTTTTTCAAACACCTCATTTTCCATTTTCTTAGAACTAAAGGAAACATTATACCACCATTTTTTGGTTTTGTTTTTCTTTTCTTCTGTACAGTGCATACAGCCAGAACCTCTATGAAGTTGTTAGCTTTGCTGTGGAGGGGAGAAATCTCTACTTAGATTCTCCAAAATTCAGAGGGTAAATTCTATCTTTGTATCTTTCCATCATAACAATCTTTTTTTGGATGGCTCTGCCATGAAACTGGAAGATTTACATGCTGAGAATTCCTTTGGTCTGAGGAGTTCCCACCCATTGTGGAGACTGTCTAGATGACTCTCCCCCTTGCACTACAGCCTCCAAGGCATTATGGGTGTAGCTAGGAAAAAAGTGGTTTAGCCTGGTTTGCTTTTTTGCATTATCCCCAAGCTGGTTTATCACACTCTTGAAGCTCGTGCGAGTTTTCTTCAGTATATTCTGCTCGGACAGAATAGTTGCTGTTCTTTAGTAGGCTCACTGTGTCACAGCTGTGCCCATGACAAATTAGATGCAGCTCTGTATCTAGGCCAGAAAGTGCTCACCAAATCCAATAAAGCTAACTTGCATGTCTGAGAACAGTAATTGTTCCTACCAGTTAGAGGCCATATCCTGCTATTGTTCCATATATATTAAGGCCTTATTGAAGTCTCTTCTAAAAAATCTTGTACAAAAGCTCATTTCAGGATGTGATACCAGCCAGCAGACAAAAGGTCCTCACATGTTGTTTTACTGGAATCCTGTTTCATATCTTGAGCTACATCATAATTTCACCCCGCTCTGAATCCAGTCTGTGTTATTTTAAAATTAACATTGTTTTGCAGACATTTTTCACTCTTATGCAAATATAGTTTGGTTCTTTTACACCATCTGTGCTTGCACTACAAAATTAGGCATAGGTTTGCAAAAAAATCTGAAATGATGTTTATTTATATATCTGGGACTGGACAATCCTCTACCTAGAGGTAAAAACATTATGTTTCAAAAGTGTCAGTGGAATCAGAAAAGTTATTTAATTAAAAAACTAAAGATCAAAGCACTTGAAATAAATGAAAGGTGAAGACGTTGCTTTTTCAGGCAATTCTTTTCACTTAATTTTGTGAGCTGCAGTCTTCCTCAGATATTATGCTAATGCAATATCCTATCCTTTTGAATGCATTTTTCCAGTGCGTGGTGATAAAGGAATATGTAGCTTACATAGCTGTATTCACACTATAAATTCACCATGGTTTCACTGAGGTCAGTGGAGTGATTTCTGCTAGCTGATACATTAATAATAAGCCTTAGGACATATTTTTTGACATGGCTGTTTGTAGTTGGTCTTCACAAAATGTTTTCCACTGCTGTGGAGCAACCATGTGTATTAATAGCATTTCTGATTTCTGAACAGTCCGAAGTGCTTGCTCTAATAAATTAATACATTTACAACAATATGTAGGTGTCTCTTTATCCAGGGCAGTCATACAGCCACCCCTACTGAAACCTAGGAACAATCAAACAGGACACTGCAATTGGGGTGTATTAGGAAAGACAGTTACCATTTGTTTCCAAATGAATGAGTAATTTAGGAGGATAAAGTATAATTACTGAGAAATAAAATCTGATCAAAACACCACAATTACATTCTGTGATTCTATGATGAATAACAATTACCTTAAGTATTGATGGTCATAAAGATCTGTAATACTATACCCCAAAACTCCTGCAGCTGTTTTGGTGTCATGGGAACTGGGAACACTTGAACCTTATCTCTGGAGAAAACCCAACTGGACAACACCAAGAGATTTGACTGACAGCCCTGATCTTTGTACTTTCCATGGGTTTATAGCCCACCCTTTTTCCTGTAAATGGGCAGTTAGTGAAGTTACTGCCTTCTCTAATGCCTTTATTGAGTCAGATGTTAACATTAGATCATTGAGGTAGGTGTTTGACAGTAGACCATTTGTTTCAATCTGCTAAGTCAGGCACCACCAGGTAGTGGTGCAAAAGGTAGGCAAATGCACATACCCCTGAGGTAGGACTTGAAAAGTCCACTGCCTGCCCTCCCATGTTAATGCAAACTGGTCTTAGGGTTCCTTAGCAATTGAAATGCTTAAAAATGCATTTGCTAGGTCCAGAACACAATGATATGTTTCTGTTTCCCTACTCAGTGTATCCACGAGGGAGATAATGTTGGATTTGGCTGCATGGATTGGCAACGTGACTTCATTTAGTTCTGTGTAATCTACCATCATTCACCACATACCATCTGATTTGCCCGTATGAGGGAGTTTTATGGGCCGTGTGCAGGTCGTGTAACCCCTACTCTCTCCAGCTCCTGCACAGTGTTAGTGATCTCCCACTGCCCACCCAGGAGTCTATATTGTTTTGTATTCATGATCAAGTGCAGCTGCAGCAAACAAATGAGCTCAGTTTTTGCATGGCCCCTTAATATTGCCAGCACCACACAGATGCTAATACATCTTTCTCTTAGTCTGAACTCTGCCACATTGGCCCGGAGAGTTGGACCCCACAGAATGTCTACCCCCAATATGTATTCTGGAATTGGAGTGATAAACACCCTGTACTCCCAGGGTGGGAAGATGCCCAACTCCCAGTTTCAACCATGTTTGGGTTACAGAGATCATCTGTCCCTCAAACCCACCTATCATTTCCTTAGTGCCCGAAAATTTGAGTTGCCATATATAATCGATGTTTCAGCCTCAGTACCCACTAGCACCATAAGCCGTTGAATATTCTTTCAGGACCAGTGAGTTGTTATTTCAATTTAGGGCCTCTGGTCCCCTCTCGAGGCCCTAGTCCTGGGGGATTTCAGCTCCCCTGTCACATCATTAGCTAAGCAGTCCCCAAGTCTTCTTCCTCCAGTGGCTTAGCCACAGCAGCCCAGGCTGCCTGAGGAGGTTTTACCCTTTTTTTGGTGGGACTGTGAAATCCTCTAGATTCCATGTTTTTTGTGAAATCCTTTCTGTAGTCCTAATTCCTTCCCTTTTAGGGGAAGATTGTAATTTGCCAGTTAACTGTCTCCATAATTGTAACAGGACCTGATCAGGTTGTTTTTAGATCTTTTTAAATTGAACTCCTGCCCTAATCAGGACATAGAACATTTGTTTTCTTGAGACCCTAATGGGTGCAGATTGGACTGCGTTAGGGCTGGTGTCCTCAATTATGGTCACAGGTGGACTTCTGACATCTGCACCACCATTTGGAGATTGCACCTGGCTTGTAGGCATTCTTTCTCCCACAGATCCACCACCAATTGGGTGGCCTGTTGTATGGGAACTGCTGAGTCACGGCCTGAACCTCTGATTAATCACCTGAGGTGAGCCTTGAGTCAGCCAGAGGAGCACAGGTGAAGGCAATTCTCCTGGACCTATTTAAGAGCTGGCTACCAGAGGGGAAGGATCTCTTCTGGAGATCCTCCTCTTTTGGTATCTTCTAGTGAGCTCAACCCAAGGGTAAGCTCTTCTACTTACTCTCTTTTGTGATCCTTGTTTGCTTTTGCCTTACTCTTTTGATTATATTGCAATTATAACATCTTGGTTATACACCTGTTGTATTATGGCCAATAGGATCGTCAGTATGGATACTGAAGTACCATACTGGTGTAGTGGAGCTAGTTGCAAGATGAGAGCTCTCATTCCTGCTGAAAATTTTATCGGATCCATACTTTCAAAAACATTCTCATAGATTGCCTTTTTCATACCTAATGTAATTTTGTAAGTCTCCTGTAGGTGATCATAAAACTGTGTTTAAAGGTATATCATTTTTATTTGGCCATGTTATTTGGCATGAGGCCATCAGGCATTGAATTAATGGATGATTTTCCTCATTGTGTTGGACTTCTGCTTATAATCTTTGTCTGAGGGCAGGGCGAGTAGTAGTGGATGCCAGTTTTGAAATTTCTGGTCATTTTACTACAACATGTTCTGCTATCATGTCCCATAACCAAAGCAGCCAGGCTGGTATACTTTCTTTGGGTTTTTGCCTAAATTGCTGTACTAGATCCATAAGTTTGGCTGTCATGTATGGGTGTGCCATTATATATAATGTAGTTTGGGTGGGGAGGGGCACTGGTTGGGGGGTATCCCCACCAGTCTATCTTGCATTTTTTTTCATGGAGTTACATTTGGTCTCAAAAGGATCAAGTTCAAGTGGAACCTCAAGATCTGACCTTTCAGTTCTTTCATTTATAGAGTCTAGTTAACGTTGGATCCCTCGTTCAGGGTCTCCAGTAGTTTCTGAAGAGATGTTTCAGAACTTTTGTAGGGGAATGATCAGATCTGGCTTTTTCCCAGTCAGTATTGTGACCTGCCAGTCAAGTTTTCAACTCAGTCACATAGTAGTTGATTTTCATATGCCAAAGCCTCTTCAGGCACTTTTAATCAATTTAAAGCCATCAGCAGTGGCCACGCCACAGTGGATGTGGCAAACAGCCATTCTCCAGTAATCAGTGTATCTTTGCTGAGGCCATGAAAATACTCAGCCATGCAGTCCAGGGCTATTTCTACCGTCCCACAGGGGGCCCCATTTTTCAGTTATAGACACAATCCCATGATATGGAGATCCTAAGAATCCTGGAATATGCACTGGCACGATCTCATTCAAAGGGATGCTCCTTCCCATCCAAACCGCCCCATTTCACTACTTACAAATGCAATTTTAGAACTTTTAAGGGACTCGTGATGGAGTAACTTTCAAGGATTAGATCCCTAGCTGGCTCACCAAGAGCGTACAGCAAAAGAAGGCAATATGAGTACCTTCCAATGGGATATAAGCTCTGTAGAATAATAGACAATAACAAAAATTAAAAATTAGCTCACTTCTTCCAACAACCAGTGATGGCTCAAGAGAAGTTCTATCTAGAGAGATGCACAGTCCTAAATACCACGGTAAAACGAGGATGAAACATGGCATTCTTTGCTTTTACTAATCTGCGATCTATATATGAGAGCAGACATTTCTTTCTTTACTATTTAATCAAGTATCTAAGGACATTAATACTAGAATAAATTAAGGGCTTTTAATGAACTCTGAAAAGGCAGCAATTTCAAGATGGTCCACATTAATTATTCTTTAATTAAATGCTGTATATTAAGCCTAAGGAAGTGCAGAGATTTGGGTGAAAAAAAGGTGGTAGAAGTCTATAGAAATCAAACTTACTAATACAGCTTAATCTGTAATAGGACCAGCAGAAAGAAGAAAGAAACAAATGTGCCATACTAGAATCTCTAAAGAAAGAAAAACATATGATTACAGGTAGGAACAGAAAACAACAAACTTGTAATGGAGGGAAGGGCTACAGAATGAGGCAACTGTAGCAGATTGAGATTTTCAGATGATCGTAAAGAGTTAAAAGGGTAAAGCTGAAGTTTGTAAAGGTGATCACAGTCTTGTCTTCTGACTCTACGTTCAGTATGAAAAGTTATGTTTCATAAAATCTTTAAAAGCATAAAGCTATGCGTACAAATGCTTGTTGCATTACATGGTTTTTATAGCAGTGTCACAACCTTGCTCTGAACATCTGAATATTGCATTATAGTATACAACATCCAATCATATAAGTGAATGTGAGTAATCAAACCAAATCTCTCTACTTTCGAAATCATTAAATCTGATACACCAAGTTTTATTCCCTTTAGTAACATTGTTAGCTTGACTGCCCACTAAACATGAACCCCACATGGGGAAGACTTCACCTTGGTACTGAGCTTTCTTTGTTTCAACTAGCATTACTTATCTTGTTTCAATTAACTTGGCAGGATCTGTGAAAAGGTCTCCTCATTATTGTGAAATATTCTTTTAAGGCATGAAAAATATGCTTGGCAGTACATGGGGATACAGAAATGACTTAAATAGTACCTTTTGGCAAATAGAAGCACTTAAAGGCCATATTTCAGTGATAATAATTGTAGTCTATATTTAGGCCCTCTTTAAAACCTAATTCTCTTGCTAAACTACTTACAGACTGCAGACTGTACAATATAGAAGAAATATCTCCACCTTGTTTGTTTGAATTTTACTTCAAACTTCACAGTGCAGTAATCATGTCTTACATATGTTTCAACAGTAAAAATACTGTGTGATTTCTACTTTAGACATATCTGAAAGCAGATAGCTATTTAGAAATTACATTTTAGTGACTTTCACATTGGACAGAAGGAAGGAATTAGATTTAGAAGAGCGATGTTAAAGTTTTTAAGAGCTTGTATAATTGAACCTACAAGAGAACCAAGCAAAGTAAGGCTGCAAGAAATGACCCTGTTTATTGCTAATACATATAGTACACAACACACTGTAATTTCTGCAGCTCTTAGAAAATGAGGGTTCTGTTGGTTTTAATTTATCTTAAATCTCAGTAGTGAACACATTTACAACTTTTTCATGCTGCAGCAGAATTACTAAGTCACAACCTGAAGCAGTGATTGAGCACCTGTTGGGAAGGCAGGGCTAACCCAGGGGAGCTCAGGTGCATGCAGTGTACTTGAGTGATTGCAAGGGGTGGAGCCTGAATCAACCCTTCCCAGCCCTCATTTAAGGGTTGGCAGGGGGAGGTGAGGGTATTTTGCTGAAGTTTCCTGCCTACCCAAGGCTTTCTAAAGGTGAGCAGCTTTTTTTTTTTTTTTTTTTGTGTGTGTGCTTATGGCTGTTGCATTTAAGCAAGTCCTTACTTGTTGTAGCCTAGAACCCTGCTGACTTGCTGTCATTACTGTACTTTTCATTGTGTTAAATATACTCAGGCTTGGTTTTCTTGCTACTGTAAGGCTGGACAGGAGTTTGTATCACAGCTGTTTAATAATCAGTGGCAAAGCTACTAATGGAGGAATTTGGAATGTGCATATATGCATAAAAATATTTTTAAGTTAGTATCCAGAAACCGATTTAGGAATTGTGTTCTTTAAGAACAGGACATCTATGATCCAATCAGAAAATACAGGATTTGGCAAAATGTGAGTGAGTTAAAATGATGTAATAAATAGGGCCACTAAATACTGTGATTGAGCTTCAGCCCTGGGTACCTAAGTACTTAACCTTAATACGTATTCAGTGGAGCAGGGATATCTCAGGAGAGAGTGTGCTAGAAGCAGTGACAAATGCTAGCATTAGCAGTCATCAAATGCAGCTGCTTCAGAGCTAGCTGGGCCAGCAGTGGTGCAACCAACCTCGAAGTACAAAGGGTTCTGGTGTTTTTCTTTGCTGGGGAAGCACCAAGAAAGCAGTGCAACCCTACAGAAATGAGCAGCTCTCCCAGCAGAGGCTGAGTGTGTGAGTATTGCCAGGGCAATGGTGGGAGACTGCAACTGTGGTAACCTGGAACTCATGGTCAGTCACTGAGCACAGCTGCTTCAGAGACAGCTGGGCCAGAACTGGAGTGACTGATCTCAAGGTAGAAGGGATTTTTGTTTGGGTGTGTTTGTTTCTGTTGTTCCTGTGACTCAATTAACAAAGCTCACACTCTGCTTTGATAGGAGTTGTGGGTAGGAAATCATAGGCAGCAGCAAAGTGACACCAATGTCACCTCAAAGTCTGTTTCAGAAGGGAACTCAGTCAAGCCTGGCCAGGTTATGTCATAAAAGTTTCTTGGAATATGTGGGCTTTGTTGTGATTTGTTTATTTACTTATTAGAGCTTTTACATACTGATAGCAGTCCTAACACATTGTATTTCTACTGCCAAAAATGCTTGTGCTAAGAGCATTTATTATTTAATTCTATGAACTGGTATAAATCATACTAACAGAAGATATGCTATGGTTGAAAGTGGCATCAATCGTGTTTCTTTGATAGCTATCACTCTTCAGATGAATTCATGGCTGTCAAGAGAAACTTGTACTTCTTGGGAAGTTGCAAACCTGAATCATCCTGGCTATGAAGGCTAAGCCTTGCTCTGTGTAACTCTTGCTGGAAGTGGCTGAGCTGATTTGAATACATTTGGTTTTAAATGCATTCTCTCATTCTGCTAAAGCTTATATATCAAGCTGTATGTCATGTAGATGTCTGACAATCTTCCTTAGCTTTATCAGTGACTTCAGTTGTGGAAGCAAAGGAACAAGAAGCTTTTTTGGTAATAACACTGGTTCATTGCATGTGCCTACTGATGTGTACTTGTGTCATAAGTTCCTATGGGCAACCTGTTTGACATATATATTAGGCTGGCTTTTTGCAGGACTCTTCTGTTGAGGGATATGTGGCTGTATATATGCCAAATATCAGTCAAGACAGTTATTTTGCTGTACGTGATGTTCTCAAAATCTTACTATCTATAAAGTTATGCTACCTATATTACCATTTTTTTTACTGAAGTTCCCATTCCAAGTTGCCATGAACTGTACTGTGCTAACATCAGTAAGAAAAGCAGCCACATGAAATGTGATCATATTTATATTTTACTCCAAGGTCTGAAGCTGTGGTTTGTCATGGGGTGGACTCCATGACTAAGCTAGAAAGTGTGTTTGAGAC